GTCAAACACATTGTGTCTGAAATCCTTTGTTGGAAGAAGTGGAGAGAAAGAGATTAAAAAAAATGCCTCAAAACCTTCAATAAGGCCGTTCCCAGATTTCTTATAGCTCTTCAGCCAAACAAAACATTCATACTTCACTTCGATGTATAGGATGGTATGGTATCATATAGTATCTATTAAATCTTCCAATAGCATCTGTTGTCCAGGCTACAGTTTACAGAGAATAACTTATTTTGTGCTTCGGCAAGTTTTTAGACTCACCAAGATTAACACAGAGGGGAATTTAGAAGGGAGGAAAATAACCGTTGTCTGTAATATTGGTTTTCGGTGGCGGTGAGATTTAAAACCCTGATATTTTTTGTAGGAGAGATAAACAGAAATACCTGCTTGAACTGGTGATGTGTGTTTTTCATTGCTCTGCTAATATAAAAGTACCTAAAGGCAGTGTGTGTATATGCTGGAGGTGGCAGGTACATTCATGTCACTTCTGTAAGAATAAAAAGGGAGTGCAGCGATCGTTTTCACCTTTGGAAGCACAAATTTTGCAACAGCTCTGAAAAAGACATTTATTTACAGTATGTCGTCACTGTAGGTTTAGCTTGAACATTGTACAATGGGGTTGTTTTGAGAAATTATCCTAGAATAGGTAGGAGTAGCCATGTTACAAGTGACAAATATGCTGCTGAGTTCATACTGATGTTGCATGCACCAGTGTTTTGGGGAATATGTGCTGTTTTCACAGTAGTAAGCTGAGTTACACTGTGGGTTGTCTGTCAGTGTGCTATGAGAGAATTTGTTTCTCCTTTCCAGGTCAGATATACAAGGGGAAGTCTGGGAAAGCTTTGTAATGCAAATCTAGCTAGCTTTCGTTCACACAAGGAATGCTAGATGCTGAGCCATAAGGTCTGAGTTCAAGATTTCTGTGAATATGTGGGATTTGAATTAACTCAGTAATGAAAGCCTCTAGGAGCATAAGGTGCATTCAGTATCTAAACCACTTACATGGTTTAGAAAGCTAAAATTTGCCCTGTGAAGATTAAGAGAAAGCTGGTTGATACTGCTCCTTGGCATAAACCTTAACAGGAATCCACCCATGGCACTTGGACATTTGTTGTACAGCTGGTATGTTTCGTTTAATATAGACAAGAGAAAAGTCATAGCAGGTTTCTTGGAGGTTGGCCACGCTTATGGTGGATGACACAAATAGTTGAGATGGATAACAGATAGCAAGGAAACAGATCCAAACAAAAATGCTCAGCTATAATCTTTGGTAGATTTTTTTTGTGTTAGAGAATATAGAGCACATCATCAGGGAAATAAAAATGCACCAGACAGTAACAGCCATTGAATTTATACATGGCAAAAATAACAGTGAGCTCAGTTATTCAACTCTCATAATCACCTGTGGGATAAACAACTTCCTGGAGTATCCTTTGAATACATTATATTTTCATGAAAGATTAGAATATGGATATGGAAAAGGGAAATCACAAGTCTTAGGTTTCTACATGCAGCAGAAACACCCTATATCTCACAGTAGTACTCATTGTATTTGCCCTAGAGGAGGTTTGTCATTTATTATGGTGTTTTGTTAATTGTATACCTCTTTTCAGCTGTATTCTTTTGCCTTGTGAAACACAGTCCAGATACAAAATAAAAATTGCAATTAAAATTACTGGAGAACTGGATGTGTATTATTATTTTGTAATTTTATATTTTCCTTTTTTTCTCTTTTCTGTTACAGAGGGTATGAACTGTATGAACAAAGATCATGGGTGTGCCCACATCTGCCGGGAGACACCCAAAGGTGGGGTTGCCTGCGAATGTAGGCCTGGCTTTGAACTTGCCAAAAACCAGAAGGACTGCAAATGTAGGTAGATGAAGATTAAATTTCAAATGCCCCCAAATGTCTTATTTTCTTCATTGTTGTTGTTTTCCAGAAGCCAAGAAATCAGCTTTGTTTTGGCCAAAGGTGATTTGTAATTTTAATAATGTGTTTTTTTTCTGAGAAGATGTACATGGGGATGGATAAGAGGGCTCGAATAACAGAATTTTGGCAGTGCCTCTTGTTAGCAAGATGGAAAATAGAAAAACTGTTCTTCCTTCCTGTCCAAAAAATTGAGGGATACATTTAATCAGGATTTCTTTGTAAATCAAAACAAATAAAGAATAGAGGATTCTGGCTTGCAATACTTTGAAAGTCCACAATGATAGATGCATTCATAAGTCTACTAATGGATTTAATGATAAACCCACTATAGCTATCAAATAAAGGGTGTTAATTCCTCTTTTTTAAAGGATAGAAATGTTTCCCCTAGCCCTGATTCCACTGCACAGTCTACTTTTCTTGTTGTTACTTGAAAACCGTGCTGCTGTATCATAGATAGTGTTCATCAGAGAAAAACCCTGAGTGACACATTCTCGAAGCTGGAGCGCTGGAGATACAGATACTCATTATCCCACAAAATTGGAAAGTGTTCTGTACAGGTTAAAATAATTGACCCTCTGTAACTCAGCACTGTCATCTGAAAGCTTCCAAATTGCCTGGGAGTCTTTCTGATGGCTTCAGTGAATTTTAGATCTGACTCCAATAGCTTGCTTTCCTACTTGGTAGAGACAAAAAGAAGGAAGTGCAATAAAATGACATGAAACATGTTTTGTGCTTTGCATTGGGCAAATATTTTTGTGATAGCATTTCTTACACTTGAGCTTTTTTCTTCCTGAGATCTCCACTGTGTAAACACACTGACATGATGTTAGTTCCCAAGTACAAAGTCAAATGAATCGCCTTTGAATATCATCAAGAAGTGCCACAGGATATTGTACAGCCTGATTGCACCTCAGTATTAAGAGGCTACCCAGGGCCAAAGGCAACAGCGTAGAGAAGAATTGCCTTTATGGTAGTTTTCATTCTCAGTGTTTATTAGAAATGAACATTGCGTGCTGTTAATTGCAGTGCGACATCAGCTACATTGGTGAAGTGGGAGAGGATGTTTATTTATGTTGTTTTTTATTTGTTTCCACAAATTTGTACATTCCTTAGGAATTACATTATCCTTTTTCATAGCGAGATGGTGACAGGAAGATTAGAGCCTTTTCTAGGACAGTATTCCTGAATACCTCAAGGTTTAATAGAGTGAAAAACTTGAATTTATTCTATGCCCTGTGGTGTTCAAATTGTAGTTGGAAGTATAATGAACTGTTACGGACAGACCTCTAAGTAGGGACACTGAGTTTTTCAAGGCCACAGAGCTTGCTGCACACTACACCAACCCCTAAACCCACAGCATATTCTGCAAATATGTTCCAGAGTCTTATTTAAAATAACTGTACTTCTAGCTTTTCCAAATGCAAGTAAGTATAAACCTATAGCCAGATAGCCTGGGACAGTAATTGTGAGATTACAGCAGGCTATTTATAAAGGTCTCGTTCTGAATCCAAATCTTGACTTTCAAAAAAACTTTTTCACTGCTAATCATTTCAGTGGAATTGTCTTAACTCTTGAGCTGCAGCTTTGCAAGTACCAAGTACAGCTATGTTGAGGAGCTGAAAAAGAGACATTTGCCCCTTGTCAGCCTGGATATACCTCCAGTATATCCCTGTATCCCTCTCAATTATTCTGATCTATCATGGTCCCTCCAAGAGACTGTGCCTTTCAGGGCTTGTCAGAGCTTGCTGCTCTGGTTTTTTATATGAACAAGTAGCAAAGAACCAGTACCTCACTAAGTGAATTTTTATCATCCAGTTTGCAATTGAATCAGAATAATGGGAGAGGTTTTCAGATGTGTTGGCCCAAGTCCACTAGTAATGAGATATGTATTACTCAAAGGAAAAAAAGATGTTAAAGTAAGTTAGAAAGCATAAAAATTGGACGGAAGCTCCCTGCTTTTTATACGTGCATCATGAGATTGTTATTACATCCTAATTGCATGATTACATATCCCCTGATCGTATCATTGCATGCTAATAAGGCAGTCATTATCGGTGCCTTGCTTCATTCAGTTTATGTGATGGTCAGTGCACATTAAACAGGCTTTTGTTCAATAGCTTCCGCTCCATAATTCAGTGTCATGCCTTTGCTGCTGCACACTGCTTAAACCCTATTGTGAACATAAAATTTTTAATTTCCTCATGGATTTTCCCATGATACTCATTACTGCAATATTGAAGGGCTTTGTAGGCATTGGTAATGTATTTTCAGAACATTCTTGTCGAGTTAAAAATTACTGGTTTGCCTATCTTACAAATAGGAAATGAATATAAAGATGTTAATGTCAAAGTCATTTAATAGTGATAGGTGATTAACAAGAACCCTGAACCCAGCTCAGCATTTATAGCACTTAAGTATGATCAAAGCCAAGCTTCCAGTGGCTCCAGCTGTAGTTGCAAATGCCATGGAGAAAGGAGTAGAATATTAGTAACTTGGGATTCAAGTGACTTGCAAAGCCCTAAGTAGAAATTGCATGGCAGGGACAGATTAGAGTTTTTTAGGGCTCTTTTCACTGTCTGAACAAGACCATCCTTTCTTGACAGTCCCTTTCTGATTTACTAATCATTCTGCAGGAAAAGAGGCAAGTCTGTTTCCACAGACCTGGCTTTCTCCAGCTCCACTGTGCAGGTCCTGAATAAGACAGGAGTGTTTTCTGCATTTTTCATTAAGAATGGTTATGATACAATATGTTCATGTACCAGGAGTCTGATATTTTGCAGTTTTTGAGTGCTTAATATTGCAACCTTAATGCTTTCTTAGTGTAAATTTTAAACATGTAATTTCTCAGTTACAAAAAAACCCACAGTCTTGCCCACCATGCTAGGAAAACACAGAAGCATTGAAGCTGGAGGGACCTCAAGAGGTCATCTAGAAATACACCAAGCAGAACCATACAGATCCACACATAATTCCTCAGAAGAGCTGCATCCCTTATATCCGAAGCAGCAGTAAACTACATCTTCTGTGTACACAAGCCATTAGAGGAAGAATATGCTTTGTCACTGATTTTAATAGATACTTGCTGACAGCAGAAAGAAGAGACTTGGGAATAGTGAATTCAGTTCCAGGTTATAGTGGAAAACATGGGAAATTACCTCCTCTTTCTATATCTGTATGTCTGATAGATTTTAAGAATCTGCTCCTGAGCATGATTGCTTTAGAAATTTTTTATAAACTGTAGGTTTTTTTCCCAAACATGAACAAACCAAGACATTTTTTGTTAATCTCATTGGATCAGTTTAGCTGGAACTTTAAAAAATAAAAGGAAACCTAAAGCAGATACACATACCTGCAAGTTGCAACCTAAACAAAATAATTCTGGCACAGTTATAAACAAGTGAAAATCTCTGTGAGATGCTGGTTTTAGCCAGCTGCACAAGGTGTTTCTCCCACTAAGAGAAAGAGCCCAGCATTTTTATTGTACTTAAGACATACAGAAATGCTGAAGCAGTATCAAAAGCAATGGTGTCCCTCTGGTTTTAAATCTACTATGTGGGGATAAGTATATCTGAGTTCTAACAGATATGTGTATATTTTCCTTTGGTTAAAAAAAAAAAGAAAAAAAAAGAAAAAAGTTATTTCCCATCCATTTTATTTTAACGTGATTTGTAGTATTTGAAGGTGATCTGTGTCTATCAGAAGTTGCCTGTTTTTGTTTGCCTTTTTAATGTCACAGACTCTGAATGAGCACAGAGTCTTTTACATAGCTGTAGAGTCCAAATTTATCAGAAATCATTTTTAAAGGAATACTTTGAGGTTTCTTATTAATTTTGCTTTAATGGTTTCTGACAAAATGGAGTAGATCTAGATGTCCCTCTGCTTTTAAATAATTTTGGTTTTCTTAGAAATTTCTGAGAATTTTCTCAATATGTCACTGCCACAGAATTAAGTCTGGAAGGAAATTGAAATGACATATTTTATGACTGGATTTTGTACCAATTTTGCCTGAAGATCTGTCAAGCTCCAGAATTTTGGCTCAAGTTGCTTTAAATAAATAAATAAATAAATTGTAGTCTAGACAGAAATTCAAAACCTTCAAAAACATGATTTACTAATATTTGTAAGAGACAGGAAAAGGAACTGACCTACATCTGTGCTCATTGACTGGATAGAACAGGAACCAATAACTTTAGTGTACAGGGAAATCATAAAAGAAGTGTGTGATTCTGCAGAGTTTACTATAAACCTCACCAGTCTAGTGTGATTTTTCGTAGACAAATATAGAAAGGAAAAGTCCTTCATATTACATGGATCAGAGAAACTGTGTTAAGATACTTTCATCTCTGTCAGCAGAGGCTTTCAGCAAGGAATGCCAGTAATAACCACTGCAGTCAAGTTATTTAAAATATAGACTTTGTTGCTGATTGCACTTTAAAGTCCTCATTAAAAACACTGTTGGCTAGAAATGTATTTAAACATCTGGCATAAACAGCATCTTTAAGTTTTGATGGCACTGCAGTCCAACAGGGATAGAAACATTGAATGATCCTCCACGTAGTTCAAGAGGATTATGGGGTCAAGAAGGAGGGGAGGACAGGTAGACGGAAATTACCTTATCATGGATTAGCTCTGCCAGTGTGCACCCAATACTGTGGATACTGCAAGCAGCTGCCTTCTATACCGCTTGCTGCCCCTGCACATCCCAGGCACAGCCGGCAGAAGAGAGCTCATGTTTGCAGTCATGCTGCAGTCAGCAGATTGAGCCAACCTCTGTTTGTTCCTCTAGCTCTCAACTAGGCTGCAAACTAGTATGTCATCCACCTTCAGGTTGACCAAGAAGTTACTGTTGCACACATAAGGTGCCAAAAAGAGAGAAACACGAGGAAAAGATTAACCCAAAAAACTGCAAATCAAAGAATGGGCGAAAAGAAGAGAGGTGTATAAGGACAGGCATAGTTTTGAGGAAGGAAACGATTTTTCAGTATGACTGCATGGGAGGTTTGCGAATGGAGAATTGATATAAAATTTTGATTTGTTTTGCATCAGAATACAAGCTAAGATGTTATTGTGTATTGAAGGAACTGAAATATTGCTTCCATTTGATGCAAAGCAGAATGGTTTGCTTCATTAACTTTTTCACAAAAGAAATTAACAGCTAAGTTATAAATCTGGAGAAGAAGAAGAAAGAATGCCTGAGGGTGGTTGTTGCTTAGGGGGCTTTTTAAATGTAATTACTTGGAAGTTTAGGGTTCTTATGACTTGGGATATGCAAGTTCAATTCCCTCCTCTGTCTGGTGAGACTAAACCCACAATTCCCATTCTCCAAGTGGCCAAGTTGTCAAGCACCAATAAGAGAATGTGGATCAGGCTATTCTCCATCTTCCTCAATTACATTCTTTCAAATTGGATAAAACAGCAATATTCCTGTGAGGGGACATGGGAATCCAGACAGAACCTCTTCTAGGGGTTGTTCTTACCACTAGGCCATTAGTATGCCTTGCTATGTCTGAACAACATGGCGATTTTATTCAAAGTGTGCAATGTGAAGGAACAAGGGTGCTTGCACCCGTAGTGGCCTCTGGTCTGTACTCACTGGGGAGATGGAGAATTCCTGTTGTGATCATTGCCAGACTTCAGGGACCATGGATGTAAACTTGCAGTTACCACCCTAGCAGATGGTTTTAATGGGAATTCTGTTGGGTATGCTGTGGTGGATCTTCCTCAGTTGCTTTTCTTAGAATTGTTCCATTTTCAGCTAAATACTTAAGTGATTACTGAGAGTGACATGACTATTCAGCACTGGGAGACTCACACCAGAGGTGGGATATTTCAGTTCTAGTTACCGTGACTGAAAATTCCAGTCTACTCCGTTTTAAAAAGCTAGCATTAAAGCAGAGTCACAGAGGTCAGTGGGAAATTATGTGAGCTTAGCCCTGTTGGATTAGATGGAACCTCAGTTTAGATTAAGATACGTGATTTAAAAATCTTGTTAACCATTATCTTGGTTTTACTATACATTGCAATTTGCTACCCTGGCTCTTTTATAAACTCTCTTATCTAGAAGAAAAATTCTGCCAAGACCAAGGAAGTTCATAGGATCACAGAATGGTTTGGGTGGAAGGGACCTTAAAGATCATCCAGTCCAACCCTCCTGCCGTGGGTAGGGACACCTCCCACTAGACCAGGTTGCTCAAAGCCCCATCCAACCAGTATTTAAATTACTGTAACATTTTAAAACATTTAAGTCTCATGAAATTATGAGTATGATACTGGTATATTGGTTTATTGGATTTCCCCTGTATCTGCCAATATGTATATACCAATAAAGAAGCTAGTCCAAATTACCTGTATATAAAGGCAGTACATTGAGTTCAGAATTCAGTCCGATCAGAATTGTGCTATTCAGCACCAAGCTATACGACTGCAAAGGATTAAATGGAACAAGGGCAAATGAGAGGCATTGTTAATGACACTAGCCAGCTTAATATTTGAAAACTGGTTTGTCTTAATAGTTAGAAGTTAAATCCATCATGTGACAAAGGAAGTTGAATCTGATCTGTTAATTCATGTAAACTTCAAAACTCTACCTGTCATGAAAAATGTTTGCTGTAATTTACACTTAGTATCTTAGTATCTGAAGGGCATTTTAATTGCTGAAAGCTATTTTGCACTGTATGCTTGGAACTGAAAGTGACATCTCCAATATTTCCTTCCTCACTGAGGCCAGCACACTGAGGGCCATAACAATCATGTATTTTTTGTTTCAGAGAACAAAAGAAAAAACATCATGTTTCCTGTTTTATTTTTAAACATTCTTCTACTCTAGGAGGACAAGTACTTGAAATAATAGATTTCAAGACTTACATGGTTCTGTTCTTGCTGTTTGGTCTCTGCTTCCTCCACTTAGAAAATGAAAGGGAAGGAAAAGAGAAACACTGTCTATGTACTTGAAAAATCTGCATCTGTATTGTTACTTCATGCCATGTACATCACAGATATGAAGCATGTGGCTTTTAGGAAGAGATGGAATTGGCTAACTGGTCATACTAAAATGATGAATACAAATAGACTGGGGAAAAAGTAAGCACATGCTTCATTTTTTCATTCTCTTTTTATTTTCACTGCATGGATTGAGATCAGGGTGTGAGACAAGAACATGACTAAGATAAAGGGAGTCAGAAAGAATAAGAAATGCAAATAACTGCAGATAAAAATGTGATGTTGCCTTGTGTGTTGGTTTGTTACTGCTCTTCTGTGTTCCGAAAGGCCCTCAGGACTAATTGGTTTCATTGTCATTTTATTTGTATATACATATATACACATTCATTTGGGGCTTAACTAGTAACCTGTAACTATGGGAATGGAGGCTGCCAACACACCTGTGATGACACAGATACTGGTCCTGTGTGTGGTTGTCATCAGAAGTATGCCCTACATTCAGATGGCCGAACCTGCATTGGTAAGTACTTCTCTGCAATGCATTTTATTTCGTATTCCTCACAGAATATATATGTGCACATATGTATGTGTGTGTGTACGAGTGTGTGTTTGTGTCTCACAGGCACCATTGCTGAGACAAGTGTGTAACACCAGCTCCTGGCCATGGCAGCTAAGGTCACACTATACAGAGAGAGAAGCATTTGTGCGTGTTTTGTCAAAATGTTTGTTAATGAAGTATCCCTTTGTTACTCCTTTGAAACTTTTATTTCTATTCATAACTCTAATAATTTTTGAAGTAATAAAATGTAGAACATTCATAGTTTTGAAAGTTCAGCTCTTCTGTTCACTTTCATGAGTCAAGATTTCCTTGCATAAGCAAGGTGAGGAAAATTATCCTCTATATAAACAGTTATTGGGGAATATTAATCATCATGATGTGCTTTCTTCCCTGTTGTATGATTTATTTTTCTAAAAATTACAGCGCTTGTACTGAATAAGCTTTCACTCAGACTATCAGTAGGAAAAAGCCATTCAGGAGATGGAGCATCTTAGGAGCTGCTATGCAAACATTTATGATTATGAAATATATTATTTGCTTGACACCATTTCTTTCCACTCTTCTTTTTTTTCAATAAGAAGAAGGATATTTTTGCATACTGCAAGTTAAAATTTGGAAATTCTTACTCACAGATCAGAAGCTAAAATCCATAACTTTTTCGTTGGCATTGTGGCCTTGTTGACTTTTTTTGTTTGTTTAATTTCAAATTCTTACAAATTCCTAGTAATTTTCTGAGGTTAAAAAAGAATGGACACATATTTATCATTGTTTCTTTCTTTTATAAACACTGCAAGACAGAGCACTATGGAAATAGTCACCTATGGAAATCTGTCAGTTAGCTTTAGTGATCTCTTGGTCAGATCCCTGGCATAAATCTCCATGGCTGCCCAGAGCCTCCCTCACTACTGATGGGTTTGACTGCACAATTCGTGTGCACACAAAGTGTGTGGTTGGGTGAGGGTTATGCTGGCAGAGGTAGAGCTGAACAAGGTTCAGTGATGGACTCTACCTCAGTGTATACACAAGCTATGTCTCAGCTTACGGGATCCCTCAGCTGGTACATTTGATTAACACAAAGGGCTCCATCTTACAGTCCCTCTTTTTAAATAACCCTCCTGAAGCTTGTGGCAGTTCCAGATGCAGAGAATTTGCAAGAGCAAGGGCCTTGAGAGCAGGTTTTATTGAAGGGATTATTGATCTTCTGTTTACTGGCGTTTACTGATATCCTTGGATTGATGTTTTATTTTGTCCAGCATGTAAAAATGATTTTAAAAGCTGTGTACACTGCACCTGTTTTTTTACTTTTTTTTCCCATTTTTGTAATGTAATACATACAGCTTCATGTTACATTCCTTGGTCTTGTGATGTAAGTCACATATTAGTGCCTGTGATGATTTTCTTCCCTCTAAGTAGTTCTTTCTCTTAGACTACTTTTAATTTTTTTAATTTATTTTTTTACATTTTTATTCCTGCTTTCTGGTGATGGTTCCTGATTGCCTGTCTTGTCTGATAACTGACGTTCATTAATTATTTACAGAGCAAAATAAAAAAAAACTCAAACAAAAGCCTCTATTGCAGCCTGATCCCATCTAGAACTTGTTAAAAACAAAACAAAACAACTTCTTGTTACCACTCAACCATGTAGGATTGCCACAAACAAAACCTGCCAGCCTCCTCCTCCTCACTTCAGTGATTCCAGTGTTTGCTGTCTTCAGTGGTGTATATATTCCAGGCATCACTGCAAGAATGCAAACTTCTGCAATGCCAGATAAATACTTGTTGACCCTTTGTCTAACATATTTTGTCTTTGTTTGCTTGACTTACCCTTTTATTTATTTTTTTTATGTTTGCTGCATGTGAAAGTCCCCACTTGCATTTTGATTTTTTGTTTTCCTAATAAGTATTTCGCTCTCTGTATAAATCATTTCATTTGCGCAGCTGCTGCTTCTTCATTGCTCTCCTGTATCAGAAATCTTTATTTTTATTTCACTTACTGATCATCTTCTCCCACACTTGTGACTGTTTCTGTGTATTTCTAATGATGCGTAACCAAACTAAAGTCCTCATTATGCTGTATGAAACTCTTACATGTAGGATATCAGGGACTACTTTGTAAAATGACCTTTGCTGACATCATCTTGCTTACTGCATGCTTATAAAATTACTAAACTCTGTTGCAACATCTTTCCTAGCATTGAATGTTTAGCTAGTAGTGTTTCATAGACAAGCAGGCAACCAGCACTGCCCAAATTGATCTTTTTTTGTGTTTGTTTGGTTTGTTGTTTGTTTATTTTTGTTGTTGTTTTTCTTTAATTTGCATGCTCTTGTTTGGTTTCTCCTCACGATGTGTCAATGTGTATGAGACTATGGTGCATCCATGCCCATCCATCACCGGACTCTTCTAGCTCTGTCTGTCTGTCTTGGTCTTCTGCCTGCCACCTTCAGATCCTGGTGCCACCATTAGCCCAGATCACTTTACAGTTTGTCTTTGGTAGTTTGTTCAGCTAGCATCCTTGAATTTTAATTTTTGTCATTAACACCTCTCTGGGGCACTCATGTTAGCTGTCTTGTTCTCCAGTAGGAATCCAACTTCCTGTATGTGGTTAGTTACTTCATAGTTGACCATTCTTCCTCCTCCCCCTCTTTCTTCCTCCTTTCCCTAAACACCCGTTAATTTTTTCCTGGGGTCTCAAAGGGAATTAACTCTCTAACAGGGATTTAGTGCTTTCATGCCTTGCTTCTTGGCTTTGGCGGTGCCATGCCAAGAAACTGTCTTAGGCAGCGGAAAATTGGGCTTGTGATTAACCAACTGCTCCATGTTTGTCCCTTACTTGTGTTTTAGAGAAGGATGAGGCTGCAATTGAGAGTTCTGAGTACAATGCCACGTCAGTAGCTGATGTGGACAAGCGGGTGAAACGGCGGCTACTTATGGGTAACACTTTTCTTCCACTTCCTTTGTTGTGCTCTCACTTTTGTCTGTATGTATGTGGGGGGGAGGTTCTCTTTTGGTCTCATTTAGTCCCTTTGGTTTTGGTTTGGTTTGTTTTTTGTAACCTGACTTCATCTGTGTGGAAAGTGCACCAATTTTTTTAAGTTCTCATCTGTTGTACAACTTCATTTCTTGGTTTTGAACTTTTTTTTTCTTAATGCTGCAGCTTTAATGTTCAATTTCTTCTGCATAGAAAGAAGCTTTTGCTATTAACCTTACTTACCCTATGCAAGCTACTTCTTACATGTGATTTGTGTGTGTTTGTGTGTATGTGTTGCTGTAGGATTCTTGAAAAATCTCATGTTGCAGACCTGCTTATTGACTTAAAAGTGGATGATGATGATATAAAAGAATGTTCTATTACATATGTGGTGTTAAATGAACTGTATTTTCCTACTTAAAATTTGCAGTACTTTTGATTGAAATGTAAATATTATGACTGGAAATTCATTTATTTCCTTTGTGCAGCTGTGTTAGTAACCACTGAAAGATCTTTCCCTGGTGACTAGTGAGCTTCTGTATGTTCTTTCAAGACTGAAGCGTGGCTGGTTTCTCTGTGTTGTTGGAGCCTGGGAGTGGAAGGGATGAGGAAGTGCATTGAACAATGAAGATAATTCTTTAACTTGTGCTCACAGTTAACCCATTGCACACCCCTGTGCTTGTCTTCTTCATGTTACATTTATGGCCATTAGTGAGAATGACCTTTTGGGAACAGAATGGGTAGAGTGGCTGGACCTGTGCCAGACTCTCTTCGTGTAACAAAGAGCACAGGGTAGCACAGACTACTGAATGATGCCAGCAGTTTGGAGGTTTTCAGGAGGTTTATTACTCTATATTTTCCATTCTGATGCCCTACTTATATATAATATAAGTATATAATATAAGCATATAATTATTTCCACTAGTTTTTGAACATAGTGAGCATTGGTGAGATTTACCCGATGAACGATTTACAAGACAGGGATTCTTCACCCACAGAAGACATTCTGGCAGGACAAGATTCTGCTCTCTTCCTTCCTGGTCATTACTTCATTTCTTAAAACCATTTAGTGCATTGCAGACTCTGTTCTGCTAGCCCTTGGCAAGCTCAGCTCTGGCTGCAGGCATCCACACTTAGCTGGAAGGACCACCTCTAGGAGACCAGAAGTCTAACTTTGAATGTTTAGTTGATTGCTGGGCTAATAGTTGCAGTAGGTGACAATATTTATGAAGTTTTATTATCACTTGTATCTCATAACTCATGACAAACCATCCACTTAACAGTAGGCCAGCATTCAACCACTGTGTAGAAAATGACATGGTGTTATAACTCCGAAATGGCATTGGATGATAATACTGAGGTAAAAAAATATGTTCCCTCATGTGAAAACCCAGGCATATGTTCCTTTATTTTTAGATTATATATGATTGTTCATTTGCGATTAGTTTGCAGACCTAGCAAGTGACCCATGTCAATTTATTGTTTAATGATGCACTCTTCAAATAAATTTAAGCTAAAAAAAAGCTATGAGGCAGCTCGTCTTGCTTTCTAAAGGTGCTGTTAACACTTTTAGCTGTAATTTCAATAAGACCTATAGTCTTACAGGAAGTCAGGAAAAAAGATGTGCAAAGGGCCTCTAGACCACTGGATAAACTGAGTCCTTCTTTTCTAAATGGTGAATTTTCCCACCCACTAACAGTATGTACAATATGGTTTAGAGGAACTGAGCAACATAATGCACTGCATTGCTGCCTCCCCTTCTGATAAAAGTAATTATCCGACCTGAAAATAAGCTCACACTGCTTACAAGGCCTGGAAGTTCCAAGCTGAACATAGACTCTAGAAATAGGTTTAGGGAGATAGTTAAAAATCCAGTTTGCAAAATACTTTGTTTACCTCTTCAGTACCTCCTGTATTAGCAGGTATCAGGCAAGAGCTGAGAGTTTATGGACATGCTGTGTTTGAACAACTGATTCCTTAGAAAAACATTAACTAGAGCTGAAAAGAAATTTAATTAGTAAGTGAGATCTGAGTGGGTGGCTTATTACTTAGGAAATTTTCTACTTGTTTATTTCTACTGATTTCTGATTATCAGAAAATCCAGAGTTTATTTTTTTAATGGAGTCTTACTACATTACAAAAGTGTAGTGACATTTCCGTGAAATACCATGTGTCTTCAGATGCCTTCTAAACAGCTGTTTTAGAAAGTACTGAAAGTCTCCTCAAGAAACTTTGTTACCAGCTTTTGTAAATGGACTGTGATTTTTGACCCTCCTGCAGGCAGTCTTGGGAGAGCAGAAAAAGCAGATGACTTTATGTAATTTTAGTAGTCTGATGAAAGATGCTTTCAATTGCAAGTTCTGAGACAATAATTTCTAGTCCCTTGTAATTTCCTGCATGCTATTAAAATGATTATGATCTTTATAACCCTTAATATCAGCTTGCATGAGATTGCTTTAAGAGAACAGGACCGCTATCAGATACGAATGCCTGTGTCACTCATTTTGCTCTACAGCAAGACTGACTACCTCTGTAGCTCAGACTGGCTCTTTACAGGGGCCTGTGTCCTAGTCACGGTGTGGTACTGTGACTTGTGGCTAAATGTTAAATAGAGAAAAGTAGAGAAATACACTTCATTCCTATTAGATGCATTTTTATCTAGATCTTAGGGGACATCCAAGAAATTGGTCTTCTCTGATGATCTACAAGAAACCTCCCTTTAGAGCCATCCAGTGATTCCTTGGAATTTTCATCCAAACTTTTTCATAATGTTCAGAAAGACCTTGAGGACTTCCAGCTGTCCTATCTCCCCCGTTCAGAGAAAAACACTTTGATTCAGAGTAAACAGCACTCTCGTTAAAGAGATGGCACCAAATGACTTTTCTATGATCAGTGGCTGTTGCACCGTATTGCTGTTCATACAGCTCATTTATATTTTCTTCACTTCCCCTTGGGCCATTGCCATTGCAGAGTGGAATGAAGTGAAGCCTTAATTGTACTCCAGGTGGGCTTCTGGTGAGGTTCTGCCATCTGCCAGAGTTCTGTGGTGGGTGCTATAAACTGGACGTTGAGCCATGTACACTCAGATGTAGATTGGGATTTAAGTGCACACTCATCCTGCAGAAGTGCACCCATCCAACCATTTAAAACCAGAGCCTTACCTTTATCTATAAGGTATGTTTACATCCACCTTGTTGCAGAACACCTTGCACTTACTATAAATCAGTAGGGCACAACCAATGTCTTCAGGTCTTCTTAAACATCTGGTATAATTTGTCTCGCAGTTAGTTGAGCACTGCCTTCAGCTCTTGAAGTTATGTTCAAATCTCAGTTTTGTGTGGTACAACACATTTATTTTCTGAAAATATTTTCAGTGTATTTCCTAGGAGCAGTCAGACATCTCCTTACTTTCCTTTACCTTCTCTTCCTTGAGAACCTATTTGCCAGGACTGTTTTTCCTTCTCATGACATCATAGCATGAGACTGCCCTACCTGATTAGAGGAGTATGCTAATGCCTTTCACATATTGTTCAGTCTAAATCCAGCATCAGTTTGAAACACAGTGTATCTTGCCCTGTCTACCTGGATGAAATCCACTCTAGTGTGGGCACACAACTTTTAAAATACCTAATTTCCACTCAGTCTTACTAATACACACATCCTCAAAATATTTTGTCCAGTGATGTATCTTCAGCAATGGAAGTCGCTTTTATTCATGTATCCAGTTTCCAAATCTCTTTTTGCTATTGCAGCCCTGGATAGAATGCGTAAGTCCAGTGGCCCCACAGTCTACAACTGTAAAGAAGAGTCATCTGGTAGTCTAGCACTTTATCATTATATATATTGTACATTGTCAAGTCTCACTGGCTTAGCTTTACTATCTTCTTGGGCACTGTATTTTGCTTGAAAGGGCCGCAGGGATTTTATAGAGCAATTGTCTGTTGACATCTTGAAGCCCTCTTTTACATAGAACTGGATACTGTGGACACAAACTTGGATTTTATAGTATCAGTTATGCCATTGGGCTGCCTCAGTACATCTCTCCTCTTCCAATTTTAGTAGCCTTCCAGCCATTTATAATGAAAACCCAGCAATCTGCCTGGAGAGCCGAGTGTACAGTTCACTAAGACCATTTTCTCTCCACAGCCATCGCTAGAGATGTGAGCTGTGGAGATTGCAATTTGGGCATTTCTCCCATGGATTAGCCTATGACAGAGAACATCACTGCATGTTATATGGGGCAGAATCATCTCTTTTTTTGCCTTAATGTGTGCTTGCTTTGGAAAGTGTACTTCCACTATCAGTTCAACTCCAAGGATCTCAAACATAGCAGCAGACAGTCAGAGCCAGTTCAGACTAGTAGATCACAAGTGCAGGTCCTGCTTTGGCCACTTTCATGACATGCCAGTGCTCCTTTCTCTGTGAACTGGTCAGCTCATTCATCCAGTCTTTTGCCTCCTGAAGGTACCTAGAAACGTCAGCCAAGGTAACTCTGTTTGTTCTGTCCTAGCCAAAGCTGTTTTGATTTCAGGAGATTTTTAGCCCAGTACCTACAATGGATTGTAATGAGCTGATCACATCATATTAAAAAAAACCAAAACAAAGCCCTAACAAACAAAAAAACACAGTTTGAGCTTATAGTCATGACTTACTGCATTTACAGCAAAGGCAAACACGTTAGCATCTGTTACATCAAATAGATAAATTTACAACTTTAGAGCTGATCTTTCTTAATTTTGGTTTACCTATTTGAACCTAAAGTGGTACCCAACTTTATATATCGTGAGTCATCTGAGCTTAATAATCAGCCATGTGGTATTTCTTCCTAAGCCACAATTATCTAAGGATTAGGCTACCCTATTCACCCTGAGCATCAAGCACGCTTTGACTTTTATTTGTCTGGGAGCAGATCCACCCCTCACCTGATTGCCTCAGTGGCAGGAAGGTTCCCAGTTATAGCTGT